GTCGATATTTCTATGTATTGTTGACATTTGAAAACCATCATAACATGGCTGGATTATACCATTCAGAACAAATGACAAAACTGTCGAGTGAGTCCATTTGACATCGACTAGTGCTTGACAATGTCGAAAAATATATCGATATTTGACGAAATAACTAAACGAATTGTGTTATTTGTACAGTACAATAACATAAAATACTTTTACCACAGTATCTTACAATCTGATGACAATAAATTTATAAAAATATTTTCTAAGTCAAATAAAAATATAAATGCAAAAATTATAATTAGTATGTGTACTTCATTTTTTATTTTATTTTATTCCACATTTATATACTTTGGAATATTATTCCATTGTAATAATAATAAAGATCATTTTATTTCAACACATAAATTACACAAAATCAAACAATAATGTTTTAGCACTAAACTTCTGGGTTGGCGATTTGTAATAAAACACTTTACCACTTGCACTAACTATTTTACTGTCACGATCCAACACTCACTTTAATTTGCAATCACTTTTTCTTTTTCCTAATTTCACAAATGTTTATTAAGAACTGAGCAATATTCGGACAGTGTCACATTTTTATAACTACCCGAGACAATCAATTGCCAATTAAAATAGTTCAATAACAGAATCAACAAAATCACTTTATTTAATTAAATTAGCTTAATATTTTTTTAATCTTTACAAAATAATATTTATTATATATTAATGGAATATATACCCGATATTCATTTGTTCATTAACATTATTATAGGCCATCAGAATGTTGCCATCAATGCCATCGTATTTATATAAATCAAATTAAAAAATAATTATTATTTGAGACATTATTATTGCCTCTTTAATTCATTTATTTTAATTTATTAAAATTAAAAGAAGAAGAATAAATTAAAAGATGTAAAATATGATGACTATGCTAACCAATGTCTAAAATGTCATTCATTGGTTCATCGATATATGTATTTTATCAATTACGTTCAATCACTAGAAATATTGTATTGTGTATCAGTGTTTATAATAATGTAATAAAATCTTTGTGTGCGTTATGCGTCACTTGGTTGAACTAGTTTTCATACATTTGTATTTTATGTCAGGTCCAGTCTCTAATTCGTCCATGTCTAATGCATATGATAAAATTCTGAGTCGAATCTGTACATTAAATATTTTTTGGAAAATCTTATTAAAATAGTCATTATTATAGATACAGAGCCGAATCTGTCTGTCTTTGACCGCATGACGAAAAAATCACTGGAAAGATTTCGATGAAATTTCGTATGACGATAGCTCAACATATAGGATACTTTTTACTGCGGGATATCTTATCTCTGAGAAATAGATACTAAACGTTAAAACGTATCTAGGGACGAACCCGAGCAGAGGGAGGGTGAGTCGCTAGTTACAATAATAAAATTTGAAGTTGGTAATTCGTTAATTAAAAAAATACACAAAAATTATAATGTTTTATTAATTGATAGGAAACAAAAAGGAACATGAATTATATTACTTAAAAAACAAACTTATTGAACTGATGAGTACCGTCAGTCGTTACATACGTAAACGAACGTTGAGAAAAGATAGTTATTAAAAATGGATTTTTATACATTTATCATACAAATTTTTATGTAAAAAATCGCTTATTTTTTCTAATATATTTTTTTGTTTTTAAAAATCTTAGAGCCGCTAGTTATGCATGACTCATAGGAAAACTTTTCTAAACGTTCGATTATTACAAATAAGGCGCACGGCGGTGCGGCAGCCAAGTTCATTTAATTACAAAGCCGCATAATTAATCAAAATAATAAATGCTTACAAAAGAAAAAAACAATTTGTTAAGAATTCAAATGAAAGTTATCAACTAAAAATATCGTAGGTAATAACTCGAATGCCAATGCAAATTGTACATATCTTTTTAAATAGTTCGTTTTTGAAAACAGACTTTCAGTTTCTTTATTATGATAAATATAAAAAGAAATTGCGATTGTACCAAAAGCGAATAATAATTACATCATAGATCAAGCCTACAATATATCGTGGCCTACTTTCGGAATATAAACATATATTAAACTTATACATTTGAGTAAACAATTGCTTTTGTTGCAGCTCTATTCAGTCGGTAACTAGGATGTTGAAATTAAAAAATCCTTACAAACGTTAAATGAAATGCTAGGAGAATAAAACACTTGAATATTTATATAATAAATGTTACATTCTTTATAAAGTAACACTATTTTGGTACAAAAATACTACGTTATTATCGATACAAACAATGCCTTAACTAATTAGTTTGATACATAAAGTTAAATGTATTTTACAGTATTTCCAATGTCGTTCACAATTTACAAGTAGCTACTTGGCAAGGTTGAAATGCTTTATGCAATAGATTGGCCTAAGTTTTAACACCCGCCTCATTATACTTATACTAAAAACGCCAAACGTAGCACAGATCATATATATTTCAAATAGAAAGTCCTTCACGACAATTTTTTTTGTATAATTGAGAACCTCTTTATTTATTCATTTTTTTCTTATTTGGCGTACTATTTTTATTATACAGACTATAATCTATTTACGATTAACATATAGTTGAAATAAAATGTACTCGTATAATAAATTTACTTAATTACTTGAAAAATTGAACGTAATATTGTATATCAATTTGTAACAAATCAAAGATAATTTAAAAAATATTGAACTAATCACTAAATTGAATGTATCAGATCTTTCTAATTGCAATATGTATTCTGTGTCCATACATTGTCCTTAGTTATCGGCGTTGACAAACCATGTAGTGACTTAAATTACAATATATTTTTATCAGGGACCGGATTATTTGTAATACAAAAACATGTACTCAATCGATTTAAAAGGCGAAACACGCATATAAATGTGAAAATCTGTATTTTACTAACATGTTCAAAATAAATTATTAAATATTTGTACAGATATTTTAGATTGTGCTGCATAGATTTAAAATTGGCGATATATTTTAGTTAGAAAAACGCTAGCGCAAAACTGGCCTCACTTTAAAAGTATTTTAATGGAAAATAGACTTATTTTAATAAGTAATATCCAAATATTTTTCTTGCTGATATAAAAGAAAACAATTCGTATCAATATTACAATTTTATGCATTTTGAATTTATTACAATAGTTTGAGTTACGCCATTTTTGCCATAAATTTTTATCTATCCTAATTTTTTTATATTCTGTTATAACTACAGGATATAAAAAAATATTTATATTGGCTCAAAGAAACATATTAATAAATTCTGGTATGACAATCAATCAATATCAATATTTTAGTTATAAAATACTCGTACAGTGCAGATTTATTTGATACATATTGTAAAACTTTTTCAGATTTTTTTTCATAACTATCCAGAATTTTACACACTACCATCGTTCCAATATTACGTACAATGTATTTTTTACAAATACAAACTATTCGACGCCTAGCTTGACATTTTTATAAGGAATTTCTAAAGATAAAAATAACATCTAAATAAGCTCCGGTACTTCTTTAATTGTTTTATATTATTTGTTACAATATGGCATTCGCCTTTTAAGATCTCTTTAAAAAAGTATTATATTATAACTCAGACTAAGAAATAATATAGACAGAGTGTCATAGAGCTAAACATAAACCCAAACAATGTTTGAAAATAATACACAAATATGAATATTTAACAGAACACTCATTACAGAGCGACTAATAGCAATATCTTTTATTATTTAAAGAAAGTAAACGATCTGTATGGCAAACGTAAAATCGAGAATAGTATCATAAACAGCAAATCATGCAATCAAATCAAACGTTTTTTTACTTTGAATTTTTTTGGTGGACTCCATCTGTATAATTCTTTAGTCTAAGTACTGTAATAACAAATAATTCGGCCTCTATTAATAAGGTAGTTTCAACTGGGAATAAGAATACAAGATAACGTAATACTTTAGTTGTATTGAACTAAGCCAACAGCCAATATAGCTTTGGTAAGTAAAGAGTATAGTGATGTTAATGGTTACTTTCCAGTCTTCGGGTGTGTCCTGTGAAAAAAAATAGTTCTATTTTAAAATACCACTCTCATCATCATCTCCCTGCCCATTTCCCAATCACTTGGGGTCGGCGCAGTACATCTTTCGTATTGCTGATAGGATTTGACAAAAGTTTTACGACCTGCCGCCTGCCTGACGTCAACCCTCCTTGGGAATGCTATTGTTTATCGCGGACGTCTTGTAATATGCACATTCGATATTGTTTTCTTTCAAAACAATTTTTATACTATTACTCAAAGTTTTAATGCAATTTTCCTATATTTTTTAAAATAAATTTTGAACACACAATAAATTTTGTTTTGACGTTGTCAAATTATTTCTAAAACTATACATATAAAATACCACTGTATGGCTTTATTATACCAATATCACGATTGAATCAAGAATAAAGAATCTGCAATAAAAGTAATCTCTAATAGTATGTTTTTTTTTTCATTATATCCATTTGAATAATATAAATACAATTTTATTATTAATAATAAATACTAAATCTCATTCAAATCCGGTCAGTCGTTTCATAAATGCATATATGAAGGAGTAACAAACGTACACACATACAAGCTTTCGCAATTATAATAGGAGACTGATATAGAAAACCCAATCAATAATAATTTTGATGTCCAGTGGTAACTAGTTTGCTTTGAAAACCGAGTGAAGGGGGTTTAAATCCAGAGTCTCGCACCTCTGATATTTTTATGTGCGAATCATTCCTACATGATTGCTACTTGTCTTCCAGTGAAGGAATACATGGTGAGGAAACCTGCATGTCTAAGAGAACGTAACAAGTTTTTAAAAAACATGCTCAGTCCGCCCGCATTTGGCTAGCATGGTGGACTATGGCCTGAATCCCCTCTTATTGAAGGGAGGCCCGTGGCCAGCTTTGGGACGTTAAAAAGGACTAAATACAATAATATATAACATTTACCAAGCAAATCTCACTTCCGTCCCCCAGTGCTGAGGTCCTGTAGCTCGCTGCTGTCATCACTCGAGGCACATCCGTTGGCCGGCCCTGACGCAGCCGCCATGGCCATCGACAGCGGTATGGTTATGAACTGGGGCTGGTTCGTAGATGATGACGCTGGAATATAATCTATGATAGTAGATATACAATATGGAATATAATTATTTTAAGCTTATAGCCAGCGCTGAATTTACACTAGGTGCACTCGGGGCTAGTGCCCAGGGCGGCAAAATTTGGAGGGTGGGCAAAAAAATCTCTTCGCGTAATCGAAATCACTTTCTTTATTTTCAAAAAATTATAAAATAAAAATATTAACTAGTACATTTTTCTAAAAATTGAAATCATTTATAAATTACGATTTTTTATTATTTAAAAACATTATTAAAAAAAATATATAAAAAAAACTATCCATTTTATGCAAAAAGTCGATAATAGGGCGACATTTTTTACAGTACCCAGAGCGGTGCTAAGGTTAAATCCGGCACTGCTTAAATCTTACTTAATTTGTATATTTTATGTGTTCCCAGCTAATAAATAGGCAAATATCAATAAGGGTCGGTAATAGAAAAGGTTTAGCTAAATCTAAATTCACTGTCGTTATAGAAGAATAACGTTTGAGATTTGTTTTTTAGCGATAAAGATTGTAGAAAGCTAGCTTGGCTAATCCTGGATAATCAGGAATGGATTATACATAAATGAAGTGCAAGTAGGTCTAAAGTGAATCGCTCTGCTATATCGCTGTACTATATAAAGTACAGACAGCATATACCATTCGAAACGTCGCGTCAGGAACGAAAATACAAAATAAATCCGCTAAAAAATCCGAAAAGATAGTTTTATTTAAGTCATCAAATATTCGCGTAATTCTAAGAAAGTATTAAAAGATACTCAGTCATATTCAACCACTTTTTAAGTACCGGAGAAAAATTGAGATAATCTATAAAATGCAAAAAGCACAATTTTTAAATCCAATTGTAAAAATCATAGCCAATAAATCGATTACTCGTGGCCTCGTTTTGGAAATCAGAAACACATATTGATATGATGAATTGCGTACAATGTATGAAACAAACGACAACCCTGCGTTAGTTATCATCATATTCATTCAACGTAGAACAGCATAAATAGTTCGTTCGAGTTATTGGTATCGTATAGATTTGTGGGATACCTAAGAATTTATTGGGAGACCATTTGTTATGAACATCGCATAGCTTGGATATCGGCAACCACAATCTATATGTCTTATAGCTTTAGCTTCAAACAAATTTCTCAGTGAACCAGTGCTTAATCTATACAGATAAAAAAATTGAAGGGTCTGTTTGAAATGCCAAAATAATAGCTTTTTACTAAATGCATATGAAATTATATACGGTATTTATAAGAAAAACACAATTTTTAAAATTCAAGTCTGTCTGTTTGTTCCGACTAATCTGCGAAACAGCTGGACTGATTTTGACGGGACTAGCTGATTTTATAAGCAGTAGTTTAGGCTACTTTTATTTTGGAAAAAGAATTAGGGTTCCTATAATATTATATTGCATAGTTATTTCATCAAGAATGTACATAATTGAATTTCGATCACTTGTGTCATTATACAGTTCGAATGTAATTAAATATTTGCGTTTATTTTGTTACGTTTTGTATGCGAAAATCATTAATGTATATTTACTTTATTGGACATGCTGTAACGGAATTTTTATTGCATGTACAATACGTTTCGATGACTATTTTCCTTCTTTCCATATAAATACTAAAAAATCTAATGCTAATTTTTAGCTGGTGCCTATATTTTTTAAAGATATAATACGAAATCACTTAAAATTGTGGCAAAACGCGACATTTAAAAACTGGAACATTAAAAATACTTTATTTCACTAACTAGACTAGGCTAGACTAGAAGCATTACCTCCTTCTTGTCCCTGGTTAGCCAATCCCAAGATGAAACTATGAGGGTATCCCATAGCCAAATTTCCAAGACCCAAATTACTTCCAAGGCCATCTAACCCTGTAAGGACACTCGAGTGATACAACATAGCACCACCCGGAAGATCTATTTTCGGCAATATCTTGGGTAAAGACGGTTGACTTGACTTGCTGCTCTCTTGCTCTGGATTTGAAGTAGAAGTTGATGGTAGATTGTCGTTAGCATTTAAATCTCTGTAAAGAAGTACATGTGTTAGACGAATCCCGTTAATATAAAATAAAAAAAAATGCGAAAGTTTGGATGGATGTTTGTTACTCAATCACGCCAGAACGGCTGAACGGATCTGGGTGAAATTTGGCGTAGAGATAGCTTATAATCTGGAATAGCACATGGGATAGTTTTAGAAGAAAGATACGCTTCCCATGAGATAGATTTGTATTTGTTTTTCACTAGGGACGAACTCGAGAGAAGCAAGTGTGAGCCGCTAGTATTTAATATGTTAAAATCTTATAGTTAAGGCACATACTAAAGTCATAAACGATACACAAACATTTGAAGCGACCTCTTCTACTGTACTTGTAATGTGTAAAAAGAGCTTTTTAGCTGATAAGTAATCATATACGTACTTGTAAGAATACTAAGCTCTAACCATAGGAAAATGTATCTGTCCGTTCACCTGTTTGGTTAATTTTAAAGAGACTTTTATTGAAATTTTACGGATTTTAGGATTGAAGTGAGTTTTAAAGAAATCGAAAATGTTACGCACGCAATGTATTGTGCGTATAAAAACACAATTTTTGATCTATAACACGAGTCAGGGGTTACAATATCAAATTATCTAACTGACCTTTTAACATCACGATCCTCGTTACATGGCCAATCTTGTTTATGATTTTGCATGATCTTCTCGCTGGGCGACTCAGGCTCGCTGCCGCTCTCGTCACCGCTGTCACCTGAAGTCGCTGGTTCTTCCTGAAAGAAAGAAAGAAAGAAAAAAACTGTAAGCTTAATAACGGTATCCTATTATAACTATAAATGCCATATAGCATACTATTATATATATATATATATATATATATATATATATATATATATATATATATTATACTCGTATATTGCCATTTTTTGTATCCTATATGTTGACCCGGATAACCAGCTATCATCATAGCAAATTTCATCAAAATCCCTCTAGTGGTTTTTCCGTGATGCGGTAACAGACAGACGGACAAAAATTCTAAAAACTATAGATTCGGCCTCTGTATCGATAATAATGTCTATTTCAAAAAGATTTTCCAAAAATTATTTAATGTACAGATTCGCCTTAGTTAGAATTTTATTATATGTATAGAATAAAACTTTAAGCATTCTTGCTAATATTGTCAATGTCAGGCAGTGTAGGTAATAGTAAAAGATACATATTTGATAAATTTAATTATACAAATACCACTTATTAACATTTGATTTATGTGTAAAGTAAAAATTTTATATGTAACATGTATAATATGAAAAGTAGGGAGGTCCAATATTTGTTAACTACAATTAAGCGAAACTACATTTAGATAGGCCGCTAATATACATGTACAGTTTCCTGATTCGACTTCCCATTACGGAATACACATGGGAAAACTTCCAAACGGATGTCTGAAGCTATTACCGAAAATGGATTTAAGAATCTAAATACGATTTATAGCTTTTTGCTAGAAATCTAATTTGGAAAAAGAAATAAGATCTGGGAAATATATATTCGTTATAATATGCATTCGTGTAGTGGTCGACATTGAAAATTGGAATTTACCTATTTATACAAAAAAAAATTGTTCAAAAATTTTTTTTTATTGATAGCACTCAAGCGTGTCAATAGAAATAAAAAAAGAAAAAAAACGGTTAACAATCAAATGAGATTTTGTCTTTGTCTATTTATAGATACTAGCGATTTACCCTCGCTTCGCCCAGGTTCTGCCCTAGGTACGTTTTGACACTTAGTATGGTAGATTTTTGTTTAAAAAAAACGTGAATTTTTCCCATATTTTAATATTATTCTGTTATTCGGGGTGAAGACAAATCCAACAAACAACAACGATCATAAAAATCGGTCCAGCAGTCCTCGAGAGATAAGTGTTGTAACAAATCCGACTTTGTTTTATATAATACACTAGCGATAGTAGCCGATTCTCAGACCTACTGAATACGCATATAAAATTTGGTAAAAATCGTTAAAGCTGTTTCGGAGGAGTACGGTAACTAACATTGTGACATGGAAATTTTATATATTAGATATATAGATTTGTTAAATCTTAGATAACCATAACAACAAAATAATATCCTATGGTAGCTTAATGTACTCGTATACAGGGTCATTTTTAATTTACTGAAAACCTTTTGGGAATATACTATTTACATCATAACAACAACAATATCTGTAACAAGAAAAAAATATATTTCATAAATTTTTATTTTCATACAAAAATAAAAAAATTTTGTTTGCACCTTTTAAACTTTAAAGTTCTAGCATCTGACTAAGTTTAAATGAGTAAGCGCGGCTTCCTACACCCCTCCACCCCTCCCCCTCCACCAGACACGCTCTTTCTTTTGCTAATGCTGTACTATTACCGTTGAGAAGGTGCAATAAAAATATTTTTATTTTTGTTAAATTTAAGATATATATTTTTTTCTTACAGATGTTGTTGTTATATTGTAAATAGTGTATTCCCAAAAGGTTTTCAGTAAATTAAAAATGACCCTGTATATCCTACTAGCGACTAACCCTCGCTTCGTTCGGGTGCATCCCTAGTACCCAGATTTTGTTCACAATTTCATAGATTTTAATTTCTTTGCGCGAAACCCTGATTCTTTTTTAAAATAAAAATACCCTAAGGTACTTTTTATAACATCAGCTATCTTCCAGTTCCAGCTATCTTCCAGTGAAAAAAGCTGTTATTATGACATTACAAACTGACACTTCAATTTATTTATTTGTATAGATAAAATTTGTATGATATGATCTTTATTATAAAAACACATAAGTAGTACCGTTGCACCCGTAAGAAAGACAAAAAAACTGCCTTTTTTCAAATAACACAATGGTAACAAATGCACACAGCCCTAACTCCTGAACTAGAAAAGTGTATTTCAGGAGCTAGTACCTTCCCATATCAGGCGTACATATTCAATGCATGAAATTACACGTTATAATAAGGTAAGTTGATGCAACCAAAAAAAAGGAAGAAAAAAAAATTAAAAAATTACTTCTAACTTAAAAGACAGATTAAAAAAAAGTTTGTATGTGTGTGTATGAGTATGTGTGTGTGCGTACAAAAAACTACTACTTACATATTCATAATATTAAAATAGAAATAGTGTTCTATATGTACTATTTTTGTATTTTACATCGCTGTATCAAACGCCTGTCTCTGTGTTAAAGCTGCCTTTTAACTTCGCTGACCCTAAAACACGACAAACTTAGACGCAGGTGTGAATAACGTATATACCCATTTTGTTAAAATACTTTAGACTGAAAAATTATGTTAGGTTTGAATGACATTTTATGCTTTTATGTAATGGAATATTTAGGTTGAAATTGCACTTTCCCGCGGCTCCGTCCGCGTAGTACATGTGCAATGTACCTAATACTAGGTATATTTTTAACCCCCGACGCAAAAACGACGGGTTATAAGTTTGACGTGTCTATGTGTGTGTGTCTGTCTGTGACATCGTAGCTCCCGAAAGGATGAACCGATTTTGATTATGTTTTTTTTTTGTTTGAAAGGTGAATTAGTCGGGAGTGTTCTTAGTTATGTTTGATGAAAATCGGTCCAAGATGGTCGGGGGGTTTTTAAATTTTTATTATAATTTGAAGCCTGTATTACTCCGATGCACAAGCTTTATTAATTTAAAGTTTCATTAAAAACTGTTTGGTCGATTTTACGTGAAAGACTAACTCTAAAACAAATTGTGAGAAATACAACTTTTTTCCCGGTATATTCTTAATTATTATTAAGTTGCAAATATGATAAAGAGGTCGACGAGAAAATTCACTAGTTACGAAAAAATAATAACGAAAAATTTACACCGACCTCAAAATGACTTTAAATGTAACCCTTAAAGTAGAATATTTTCTTGAAATACATAAGGATTTAAAAAAACTAACAATAATATGTATAATATATATTGGCATAGCGCTTTAAATGAAATGCCCAATTATCACATTCGTTTATTAATGTACACACCGGACCGTTACTCGCGCTCTCACACCCTGTCAATATGACAGTTGTGTAACATACATTTTTAATAATAAAAAAAAAAAATGTTGCCATCAATGCCATCGTATTGATATTAATCAAATTAATTAATAATTATTATTGCCTCTTTAATTCATGTATTTTAATTTATTATAATAAATACAGATATTTTAAATTAAAAGATGTAAAAATATGATGACTAATAGATATATGTATATTTTTATGTAAACACTCGAGTTTGGTCGAAAAATGCTATCATTTTGCCATAAAAATCTGTATTATAAGTAACATTATATAATTAAATGACTGTACATCGTTACATGAATAATAAAGGTCTACGAAGATGATTTTAAGCATACAGCAGGCTGCATGCGCAGATGTGATCATGATTTTCATTTAAAGAATAGAGTGGATATAACGGTATTGAGAAACATTTCGTAATTCGTGGCCGTGCAATTCAACCTAATGTGTAAAGGTAAAATATATGACGACACGTTTGGCTCAGTTTGTTGTGACCCTACTTGATGTGCCAGTGGTTTCGGGTTCAAGTCTCGCTGGGAGCATTCATTTGTGTGATGAGCACTAATCTTGCATGTATTTAAAATTATATATGTATAATGTATCAACTATCTAGTATCCATAGCACAAGCCTCGTAGCTTACCATGGAATTAGATGGTGCTGTGTGTTAATGTCCCAACATATTTAATTATTTATTTATATATTAAAGTATATTTTGAAGTAATAATATAATTCTATCATTCACTAATATTTTTTGTAGTGCTTTATCTGCTCTTCCTATTCATAAGTCGTAATAATGCTTACATTAGTAATAAGCAGAATATATGGATTTAATTTTTATTTAGCACTTTGTATACTTGGATTTTTAGACTGTACTTAGATTTTGGAGATTGATAAGTGAGACAAAACATCTTCGTCATACGTTATTTATATTTTATCTATTTATGTGAATCAAATCATGAGGTCATTAATAAATGTTGAGGTCATTGTATGCAGCCCCGAATGTTCAACATAGGATGAGTGGTGGTAATACACTGCTGTGCAATGTGCAGACATGTCTAGGATTTTCGTCACTTTTATTATTTATTAGCGACGCTCTCGCTTCGCTCCTTAGGCGCCTAAGAGCCTACATATCTGTTACTCCAAGTCATACTTTATTTTTATCTTAAATTGCATCCAAATCCATCCAGTCGTTTCAGCGAGGAGAAGAAATAAACATACACATACATACATACATACATACATACATACAAACATATATACATACATTTTTTTGCATTATTTGATTGACTTTATGTAGTGTGATTGTTTGTTTTGTGTGATTGTGCTCTTTCTATTTGTATATATATCTACTTCTTTGACGTTTCAGGCAATGCAAATATATTTGAACATTTGTTCAGATATATTTGAATTGGTGGTTATTTAACCATCCACTTCGTAGGAAAGCCACCTAAATGATTTTTATGGGGAAGACGACATTTATTTTACTGTCCTCCAACACACATAGTGTTGAGAGAGAGAGAGAGAGAGTTGAGAAAGAGAGTCGTACATAAGTTTTGTTTTTAATATTTTTATTTAAATTTAACTGCACATACTGTAATATTCACTTATTTCTTATTTTACCGTTTTAGTTAGATTTATTTATATAATTATATTTATTTAAATATTGTGTTCACATAAAATTGGACAGCAAATTTAAAATGATATATTAGCTTTCAAAACATTTAGTTGTAATTTTTTAATTTGTTTTCTGTTCAAGTACCTAAATAAATAAAAAAAAATGTTTATTACAACAAATAATTTTCGAGTCATATCCTCAAAACATCAACGTATATCATTGTCGTTGCGTAGGCGCAGGCTTTGTGCGGCGGCCCACTAAATAATAATAATTGCGGCTAACTAACTACCTCTTAACGCATTGGGCGCTCCGTCCATCTGATAAAAATGTACCGTGTGTAGAACAATATAAACATGAATCTTTTAATCAATTATAATCTTTATTTTAATGTTATCGTACCATTGCCAAACCTAATTGGTTTAAATATAATGCGTCTCTAGACACTTATAGATAGATAGGCAGTGGTAGCCCAGTGGTGACGCGCTCGCTTGACAAACCGAGTAAAGCGGGTTCAAATCCCGGGTCTCGCACCTCTGATATTTTCATATGCGAATCATTTCTAACATGATTACCACTTGCCTTACGGCGAAGGAAAACATCGTGAGAAAACCTGCATGTCTGAGAGAATCTTTCTGAGAGACTAATAAGAGAGAGACTGAGAGACTCCATGTCTGAGAGAGTTTTCGAAAGACATGTGAAGTCAGCCAACCCGCACTTGGCCAGCGTGGTGGACTATGGCTTGATCCCCCTCGTATTGAAGGGAGGCCCGTGCTCAGCAGTGGGACTTTAAAAAGGGATGAATACATACATACTAGATACTTACATATGTGCACATAGCGTTTCTATAGTTTAATAGGAAGATATTTTTAAGATAAATAATTCAGTAATACTTTATTTTCATATAACTTTATAAGTTTACGCGGCGCACGCCAATAAAGCTCCCGGTCGGCATGATTTTTTCCAACGTATTCAACAATCGTCGTCGTATTTCAGCTAATTTACGTAAAACCTTAATGTATTATACACCTAAACCTTCCTAATGAATCACTCCATCTATCGGTGAAAACCGTATGAAAATCTGTTCGGTAGTTTTTGAGTTAGATAGACAGACGCGGCGGGAAACTTTATTTTACAATATGTAGTGATGTTACTAAACTCTTACAAGTATATACGAGTATATTTGTTTCTCAATTTTTTATAATGTATGAGTCAGAGTAAGTCAAAGGAGAGGTATGGTAAGTTCTTAAATTTTTCTATTTAATACTTACTCTCGCTTTGCTCGGGTTTAACTATGGATACTTTGCATCTTAATATATAGGTATAATTCTTCTGTACGTGTGTTTGTTAACTCCTCCTAAAGGACTGGACCGATTTGGATGAAATTTTATGTGCATATTTCAATGGGTTCCTGGATGGTTTAAAAATACAAATGAACCCAGTAGATGGCGCTGCAGTCGGTGTGCCACTGATCATCTCCTAAACGGCAGGGAGATATTAATGATATTTTTTTGTATGTTCGAGTGGGCCCCTGCAAGGTTTGAATTCACAAATGGATCCAGTAGGTGGCGCTGCAGTCGGTGTATCACTAAATTTTCATAAGATTCCATTTTCCGAGCAATAAATAAATTTAAATGTTGATTAATTTAAATAAAAAAGTGTATGTATGTTTCCTATGGAATCCATAACAGCTGGAGCGATTTGATGAAATTTTCATAATCTATAGATTGGCGGGTGATCCTGTGAATTATGTTAGCGATGGGAAGTTTGGACGCGGGCGAAGCCGCGGGTACTGCTAGCTATCCTATAACATGTTACGCAGAAGAATATAAAATATCCTGATATAGTATTATTATCGATTTACTGGTGACATAGTGGTTGAGAAAAGGTTAAAATAGCCCACTGGAAAGAAATCAGGCCAGACTAATGGCTTTTCGTATTCAGCTACTGAATTCTAGGCACCTAACAAGTTTTTTTTTGCAATCAGTAAAATAGATATAGATATACTTTTGTTGCCAACAGTACACAATAGGCATAATCGCAACCTAAACCTTTTTTGGTCTAACAGTTGTTTTATTCGCTTTCCAACGCTGACGTCACAATCATTGCCTCATTATCCTTTTAGATACCACTCTATTGTTTAAATCTTATATATTGCTAGATTTCTTAGTTGATTTCTTTGTTGCCCAGTGGTAATGCGCTCACTTGGGAAACCGAGAGAAACGGTTCAAACCCCGGGTCTCGCACCTCTGATATTTTCATATGTGAATCATTTTAACGTGATTACCACTTATCTTACGGTGAAAGAAAATAGGAAACCTGCATGTTTGAGAGAACCTAGCAAGTTTTCGAAAGACATGTGAAGTCGGCCAACCCGCACTTGGCCAGCGTGGTGGGCTACGGTGCCGTTCCCTCTTGTATTGAGAGGAGAACCATATATATCATACTGGTTTAATGTAGCAATTGTAGAAAATAGAAACAAAACTGCCAGTAGCTACATATATGCACATATAATTAATTTAACTAATTCTGGTTATTATTTATTCATATTATATTACAAATATATAAATTTAAACCAAAACTAATATTTTAATGTAATCTTCAAAACGAAGTTAATTTAAGGAAACTCGCAGTGAATTATTTAAATTAAAAGTACCGTACACAGGATCCAGTGCGGCACAAAATAAGTGATAAATCACTAAAAGACAAGGCGGCGTGGGTCGAAAATAGCGTCATTACCGCAAAATCCAATGTGTGTTGCGCGAGCGCATCGACACAAGCACATTGTTTTAGATTCGTTATATTTAATCAATGTTTTATGTAAAGAAAAATATATATTTGCAGATCGTCATAGATCCACTATGTTTAATATGCATTTAACTTATTTTTAAGTGCATTATATTTATTTTGTCTAAACAACATTTGGTAATAAAAAAGTAGTTAAAAATCTTTTCAAAGTTGCTTCATTTATAACTAACTAGCGAATGACCCTCACTTCGCTCGGGTTCGTCTCTATGTATATACTAATATATATAATATTTTTATTATGATTAATGCTCACCTTTGGGTAGTAGCATGATGTTATATAGCCTATAGCCTTCCTCAATGAACGGGCTGTCTAATGCGAAAAGAATTTTTCAAATCGGATTAGTAGTTCCTGAGATTAGGGTGCTCAAACAAACTAACAAACAAGCAAGCAAACAAACAAACACTGCCTTTTTATATATAATATTAGTATAGATAATAAGGAATAATTAAATTTTTTTTTTTCTAAGACCTCTAACAACGTAGATGTTTAAGTTCAAGTTTCAAAAAATAAAAATTTGGACTTAAAATATTACGATGAATAAAATTATTATACCTAAATGAAATAGATTTAAAATTTAGCTTCTTGCAAGTGTTCATATAAGAAGTGAATTATGTACTGTCTAAAGTATACTTAGTTGAATATGGTACACACATATTTATAAATATTACCAACAACCCATTATAATTGATGGTGACCACGAAACGATGCGGCTTGCACAATTAATTGCTAATTAAAATTTCTCAAACAATTTAGATACTACCTGACACGCGTTAATTTGATTGGATGTATATTGTTCCAATATATAATTAATCTATATTATATACATAGGCAAAAACTAATCAATTCAGTAGCTATTTTCCTTCTGTTTGACAACCGATTTTCTTTTTTTTTTACTTTACTAGCTATATTTGACGGACTTTTGTTATCAATAAAAAATTACGAAAACAGTTTTTTTTATATACATAGGTAAATCCATACTAATACTATAAATGTGAAAGTAAGTCTGTCTGTTTGTATGTCTGTCTATTACGATTTCATGCTTAAACTACTGAACCAATTTTGATAAAGTTTGGTATAGTGTGAGATGGGGCCTTGGGGAAGGATATAGGATACTTTTTGTCGCAAAAATGAAACTTGAAATTTTATTTTATTTCGCCTGGAAAGCTCTCTGTTTAAGTCAAAAATAGATTAAGCTTTCCGTCCAAGTAATCCTATAAAGCGATAAATATTTAGCAACACACAAAATTATTCATAACCTGTCAATTTATTCACAAAAGTAAATGAAAAATAAAGCGCTAAAATAAAAAAGGTACGAAGCAAAAACATTCCAGCGAATACAATCGTCTGATAACATCGGCTGATCGTGTCGGATACTGCGGACACGCGTTACGATATCGCATCGATAATGAGACCGAATTTGTTCGCATAATGGCGTACGATACTTATATATACACAGTTTTGATGATAATAGCTGATAAAAGCTTGTGGTATCATATTAGCTTGAGGTTATGATTGTAAATTTTACCATTTTTATACATGTTACATATTATGTTATGTTTTTGAAGCTCGAAGTGGTAATATAATAATATTTTGACTGTACACTAATGTAGCAGTAAAAATATTGTGTATAAGTATGGAGATCTGTTAAAATAAAACTTAATACTTATTATCAAAAGCGATTTATCCATTCGTTATATACATTAAATCTATACTAATATTATAAAGAGGTAAAGTTTGCAAGTTCGTGAGATTGTGGGTTTGTGACGTTTTGGGGGGTAATCTCTGGATCTACTGAACCGATTTAGATGAAATTTAGTAAGAAGATAGTTTGAGACCCTTGGAATGACATAGGATA